GAAAAATTCCAAGATCAAAAAGTTGGAGCCCGAGGTGTACGCAACTTTCCGGTGTTAGTCCCGGGAGCTCTCGGGACAAAAAAAAACCATTTAAAGGTCACCCCGGGTTTACCCCGGTCAATCTTCCAGATTCGGGTTAAGAATCCCATAAAAGTTTCAACTACTAAAATTCATCTGTTTTTCATTGATACCTCCCAAGCTATTTCATTTTTTAGGTCCATTATCATTTTTCTGGGAGGAGGCTTTTAACAACGGAAGAAGTTGCTGAAAGGGGTCTACTCATGGGTGATTTTTTTTCGGAGTTTACAAGTCAGGTCTACCGCCACCATAAAATCATTACCTCTTGCTCATGATTTTGCGTAAATTACCAGTTTCCGGTCTAAACATTGTTTTTCCCAAGTGTTAATAATTTCCGGTCCAACAACTTGGCTCAAATGATAACACATGATAAAATGATGTAGCTTGCCACTGCCTTTGCCTTTGATATCTGAAAATTGTGGCTCCCTGCGTTCAGTGGAGGCCGTGAAACGACTTCCGGAAGTCGATGTGGGGACTATCTGCTAACCATCGCAAATCTGGTCTTCCAAACTTAAGCTTTCCTCTACTAGGTCTATAACATACTTAACTCTTGTCCCAGTCTAACCGGTAAACACCGAACTCTTACAAGGCTAATTGCCATTCCGGGAACCGTTATCACTCGAGCTAGGGGATCGTGGTGTCCGAGATTTTGCATGCCCGGGTCAAATCAACCCTCGTTTACGTCATATGAGTATCACAAAGATAGCTTTCGTAGTGCTCTTTGGGGGAGGGGGGGGGGCAAATTTGCCATATCAGTATCGTCTTATAAATTTCACCAGAGGTGGGACTTATTCTTAAAGGATCCGAATTTATTTTGGACTATTTATTTTTCTATTTATTGTATTTATCAAAAATACCAATCTTTGTACTACTCTTTAACCGTCACTAAAGTGCATCCATTTCTCAAATTAGGCTCTTAATCCAAATTGAAAGGTAGGCTCCCAGTCGCTGAATTTAATTAGAAATGTTAAGCTCACCAATCCTACAGTCTTCCCTGCTAGACTATTTTTTTTCTTAACAACAATGTACTTCACCGGTACTTAACAACAATGTAATCCCCCTTCTAAGTTTTTGTTCCTAATTAGCAGTTCAGAAAAGTATCATCACGCTAGTGTCTTTTTGTAATTTTCCCACCCAGACTCCACCTAACTTTTCCCAAATTATAAGCGCAGACCCCTCAGGCAGTCCATTTTTTGAATTAGAGATTCATCAATTGAGCTCCTTTTGTTATAAAAATCCTCACCAGGGGACTAGAATGTTAGTGGTTTTTCCTTCGTAGTATAAAACAACCTCATTTTGATTAGGTAGAGCTAATGCTCGGCAAGTACACAAAAATCGCACTTAGATATAAAACAAGCACCCAAGATTTGAAAGACAGTTTAATCTGAAAAAAATAAATTCTGGTCGATACCAAACCAAATCAATGGCCTTCTTACTCGAACGGGTCTACCTTTAGCTGCAGTTCCCATTTGCATTACACGTTAAACCACTACTGTCTCACCCGGAGGTCTGCGTTCAGCTTCGCTCGTGAGGTTCGAGGGCTCCTTTTCCCATTTGGCTGCAGTCTCCCTTGCGTCGTATGTTTCCACCGCATGGCTCTGCCGTTACAAGTCTTCGCTTTACTCGTGGCTCCGCTGTTTTTGATTTGGCAGAGCAACTTTTCTCAAGAGAACCGGCCTTCAGCCTGGGTCATGATTGAAATTTTCCCGATTGTTAAGTCCCAAATTCTCATTTTCTTCATATGTCTCCGGGTCATCAAAGCAGTTCGCCGAACAGTACGGTGTCGGTCGCTTCCCTGCAGAGGTTTCGTTTCTTTGCGGTGCCTGCTCAACATCTTCACTTTACTTGGAGTCGATTGCTTTGCCACCTTTTAGTTCACTTCGGATGTTCTAGCTGTCACAGTATATGGTCCTTCACGCGGATCGAAAGTCTTCTTTGACTTATTTTTCGCTTTTGACCACACCCCGACTTTATCACCAGTCGCATTGGTTTCCTGTGAACATTCTTCCAATACTGGTATTTTGGCCGACGCTGGTCAAACCTCAGTACTTCTCTTGCGCTGCTGTGTACCTTTCGGAATTTCTCGTCTAGCCCTTCCGCAAAATCATTTTTCATTAACACCTCATCATGAGGAGGTTTCGCGCATATCAGGCCAACTGTGCACCATAGAAAGCGGGGTACCTTCTGTTATCCGATTGATTGTCGTATTTTACATAAAGTTGAAATAGAGCAGCGTCGTGTCCCACGGCCTTGCGTTTTCAGCAAAAAAACTTAGAAATGGCATAAGTCATTCCGTCTGTCTGTTACTCTTTGGCTGATTAGGACAGAACTGAACTTTATCCATTCACAAAAGTTATTTAAGCTCTTAGCTTTGATCAATTTACCACCAAAAGCTTTCCCTCGATCTTTGCGCAGATTTTGAGAGCTCGAACTTCAAAACTTAGTTCTCCACTATCTCTCTCGCAATATCAGCAGAATCGACTGACAACAGGGAAACTGCAAGCAAATACATCGAGAAACGATCCCTTATTACAAATATAAGCTTCGGTCTGGTGCCTGTCGCCTTCGTTACTGGATCCAAGATATCCACTATCGCAGTACTAAAGGCGACTCCCGGATCAAGTGAGCCTGAACCGCCACTTGTTTCTTCTCCCCTCGTTTCAAATATATGAGGCTGTCCTATTCTTCTCAAAACATCCTTAGCGAATCTAATTCTGGGTACACTTCACTTAATACGTTTTCGTCTGCAGTTGCCCAAATGTATACCTCCTCATCTTCCTCTTGAATCACCCCAACGCATTGTTCTCTTAAAGAGCCGGCCATTTTTCTGGTACATCGTCAGTCGGGCTAATAGTCATCGAGCTCTCCTGACACTGTCTGCCCTCCTGGATCTGGCGGTACTGTCGGTGACTGTCTCGGAACTAGTTTTGTAATCACATACTGCACTGGAACGGCAAAACCGAGTCGCCCCGGTCCACAATCTCTCGCAAACAAAATTTGAAAGAACATATGTACTCTTTCATCGATCGCAAACGCCTGTTTTTTCACCCCGGGAATCACTAGTGCCTGAATTTTTTCGTCAACCGCTCCAATAATCACCTAAAATCTGATTTATCCGTCAACTTTCATCCCTAGTCCGTCTGTTGTCTCTAAATGGCCCTTGTCTCTAAAATTCTAAGATTTAGAGCCACCCCACTGAGATTAAGGTTATTCGAGGCTCTACACACATCCAGCCCACGAAACAATCCGCAAAGTCCGCCGTCTACCACATGGCTGACACCGGTACGCTCCTTGCACGTCTCCGTCTCCAGCTGCATATTCAATGCCGACTTGCACTTTTCTACTTAGGAAGTTGATAATTGATGAGAAAGTGATATCACCTGCTCGTGTGCTACTATCCTCTCACTCTGCATCTCCTGGCCTGGAAGATTGCGTGGGTCGCTCCTCTGCATAGGATGGTCGACTGCTGGGGCCTCTCATTTTGTTTCTTGCTGTCTTTCGAAAATGGCTGGGACAAAGTTGAACAGTGTGACCGCACTCAAATGAGCTCTCCTGTCCCTCAATTGTCTTTGCGCTATAGAGAGCATCTCGGTTATCTGGTTATTCTAGCTATTAGTAACCTCATGTTGCTATTGGGTTCAAAAATTGCCGTGGACGTCCGACTTTTTCTTGTCTTAGTGAAAATGTGGTATGGGAGAGCACGCATTACATAATTAACAAATCAGTCCATCATGGTCATCCTTCTTTGCAATTGTGTCACAGACTCGTTGTTCCGCGAGTTCTATAACTGCATCTGAGCTGCCAGTTCATCTTGTCGCAGATTCTCCATCTCAATTTGCGCCGCCAGTCCGTCCAGCCTCTGTATTCTTCCTAGCTCTGCTCCAGCTCGCCTAGCGCCACCTATCCCTCCATCTTCCCTGATTGATCCAGACATGAATTGGGTACATAAATTTGGGCAATTCCCGAACATAGTGTTGCTGACTCCCGCTTCTAGCTCTGGACGTTTTGTTCGCCAGCTCAGAGATTGAAGTCGGGCTACCTCCCGACTGAAATTTTCAAACTCTTCTCATAGGAGTAGCATCTGCAGTTCTTCATTGTATCTGCAATCTTAAAACTGCTCAAAACTAATGTCATCTCTCGCTTTCGCATGCATGTTTCTGCTATTCATGTCACCTCATTAGCTGACTCGCCTCCATAATTCTCTGAGGCGTTATATTATGCCCTGCATTAGGCTCTTGAACTCGTCATGCTCAAGAATTCGTCAAGGGTCCAGCCCGTTAGCTGGTGGGGCGAACGAGATTCGCTACTATTCACAATCCCGAAGGAGTTAAGATGTTGACAACTGTTCAATACTTTGTTATTTTGCTTGCCCACTTTGTATACTGCTCCCAAGTCTGTCTCATCTACTCGTTAGGATCGCAAGATTTTCCAATTGTCTTTAAATTCAGATGAAAATAAGTCCAAATACAAAACGC